CTATGCAGCTGGTTTCGACGCACTGGTAAAGCAATGGGGCAGGTGTATTAATGTTAGTGGAGGATATGTCGAGAAAAAATATGTTTTTGCAGTTTCCAGTGTCATATGTTTTATGCTTTATATCCATTTGTGACCTATTTACTGACTCTCGCTCGTACTTGGGCCAGGTCTGCTAAACAGCCAGCCTATGGATCTAGGCGCTGCACAGTCCTGTCAGACATTTTCTTTCCTACTGCTGAAGATTTTAGCAATATTTCACAAACACATGAAGAGCACGTGATCCTGCGTAACCATCATGCATTGCGTTTTGCTTAATGAGTCTTCTCTAATTCACTTACCGGTGATTTGAGTGTCTGTGCACCTACAGACGATATTTATGATCGTTAGGCTCAGAGAAGACACCGGATATAGAAATTAGCATGAAGATCTGAGGTTCTCAGACACCAACTGTGAAGTTTACTGTCTTCTGGGGTCTGACTGAGCTAGATTTTCCTATTTATTTAATTAAGATTTATATTATTATTTAAAATGGAAGAAGAAAACATAAGAGAGCAGACAGCCATCTCCTCTCCACCCACCTGGATTTTTTAAAAATGTCAAAATTAAAGAAACAAGGAAATATACCAAAATTTAATGCGAAAAATTGAAAGGTAAAGCTATCCCTGTAAGAGGCCGTGAAGGCCCATAGGTTTGTGAGACGTCGAGGTTCCCACATTTTCTAGACAATCGGCTCACAGAGTGAGGTTGTCATCCTTACGCGCCAGCCGCCCTTTACACCCCAGGAAGATTCCTGGCACTCATTTCTGTTAGAGGCTGAGTCGACCCCAGGGCCATAGTGCGGCTGGAAGGTTTAGGTTAATTGAAAAATCCAGTGACTTTGTCGGGACTAAAGTTGGAGTATTTTTTTAAAATGCTCTTCTGTCCTGTGTACTGTGGGACGATGGGGAAAAAAGAGTCGTAAATGGCGTTTGGAGTTTGTAACCAAATTTTCTGGCTCCTTCTGCCTAGGAAGAAAATTCTCGCGATGTCCATTGCTGTGACGCTATGCAGTCTGGTAGACGCGTACCAGCCTTTCTGGAGGAACCTGCTGCCGTCATGTTCCGGAAAAATCTGGAGATAGAAGGCTCCTCCGAAACGCCGATAGGTATCTACCAGACTACACGGTGTCATATGCTAGAATTATTCATATTTAAAAATGGAATTACGAGTAAATTTGACGTTATATTATATAAAATTGTGTCGGTTCATATGATATTGTGACGTGGATCGCGCAGTACCTATCACGTAACTGTTTTCTGTGTTATCCGTGCCAAGGCTAAATAAGGAGCAGCGAACACTGTTCAGTCAGTAGTGAGTGATGAGTGAGTGAGGATTGAGCCAGTTACGAGTGAATGACATTGACTGCAGCAGAAGAAGTAATTGTGATACTGCAGATGGCAGTAATTGTGAGATTGTAAATTGTGTAATTGTGAGAGCGAGTGAAATAAATTCGTTATATCCAATACGGTGTGAAGTTACTTTTCGCGTGACCTACCTAACACGTGACAATATTATTGTTAGTAGCAATAAGAGTGACTGCAGCAAACTGCTTGAAACAGCGCCCTTCTTGAGAAGCTAACAGGAACAGGAACTCAATTCCCAATCTTTAATTAAACCTGAAGTTTTTTTATAGCTATCAAAGGACTCCACCACGAGTCCCTATTCCTATCCAGATTAATCAAATCTGCTCTCTTCTCTAGCTCTTCCTCATGTTTTGTATTCGGGAGGTACTTCATTCAAATACGGGCCTGAATATCGGGTAGCCTGAGGTGGTTGTCCTCAGTCACTCCAAGCGAATATTGGTATAGCACCTCCAAAAGTCACGACAACCCCCTCCACAATCCTTACATACTCGTCTATATATTATGTATATTAATCGCGACTTTTGACTGGTAAAAAGCCAGGGGAAGATATTTCTGTTGAAACCAGTATTGATGCCCCATGGCATTCATACTGACAACTGAAATCAGACTGTACAGACAACTCCTGCTGTCTCCTCGGATTTCAAAGGGCTAAGTAATGAGTAATATGGCCATGCAGAAAATTATATTTACGAGTAATTCAGTAGGTTATTCTAGTTCATTCAATGGCCGTAATTTCATACTGATGAAAATACAAGGAATTTTAGGCAGCTGTTTTTCGCTGTCCACGTTGCCATATTACCTGACAAAATTAGCGCCTCTGCTTCATTTGTTTACATTGATAGGCTTGCTGTTTTGCGTTTATGCAGGAATTGCAAATTTGCAAGGGAAGTCATGACGTCACTAACGAAAGACGTTTGAAATAAAAGTTATAGAGATAAATTAAACACATTTTATAGCCAGTACACTTCTTTTTCACCGTAATTCTTCCGTTTTTTCTAGAGAATTAAACAGAAGTGACTTTTATGTTTTGTCATCACATATAACTCGAGAATCGCTGGGCTGATTTTGACCTAGTTTCTCATTACAAGTAACAGAACAGTGAATATGCCAGTGACTTTCAAGACCCAAGATGAAACACGGTGTGTAGGTATAAGAACAACTGGATCAACTTATTTTATGTAACATTAATCATAAACATAACGACACAAGAGTAAGGACTTTAGGAAGTTCAGATATTAAAGCCATGATCATCGATAATCTCGATTATATACAGTGCGATAACAAGCGTTCGTAATATGGACTAGTCTCAATTGCCGCGCAACCTATTATACATAAGTGTAAGGCCGTGACATCTACACGCGCTAGTGGAAACTAAGAGACCAACTAGAACTGTCTACAGCTGATTCTCACCAGTAGAAGTAATTAAATATATGTATACACACACGCGTCAGGCACTACCACAAGGAATAGTTCAATATGTAAAGTGAGTTGGAGAACCAAGGGCCGCGGCATAGCCCAAGTGGTTAGTCGCTGGCTTCCCACCACGGCGGCCCGGGTTCGATCCCGGGTATGGTCAAGTGGGATTTGTGGTGGACAAAGTGGCGCTGGGGCAGGTTTTCTCCGAGTACTTCGGTTTCCCTTGACAATCTTCATTCCACCAATTGCTCCACAATCTGGGGCGGGTACAATAGGGCAGAAGTGGCCGCAGTACAAGGGACTTCGTCCCGCCCCACTAGCAATAAAAAAAAAGTTGGAGAACCGGGTTTTGATTTGCGAAGGAATGCAAAATTTTCTCCTCTCCATGGCGTGCAGACTCTCAAGTCTTTACTCTCTTATGTTCAGTGGACATTGAAGTCTATTTCCCTGGGAGTAAAGCGACCGGAGTGTGAAGCTGACCACTTTCAGCAATCCATGTTTCTTCTCTTTATTACACAGCCTGACCTTAATGATCCCCCCCCCTTGGTATTACAGCCCCAGTGGGCCTAGGCCTACCTCCATGAACTTCTCCGTTCACTTCGGTTTTTCTACACATTCGGTAGGACTCCTTGGGCGGGTGATCAGCTCGTCGCAAGGTCTCTACCTGTACACAAACACAGAAAAAAACACACACACACAAACTGAACATCCATGCCCTGAGTGGGATTCGAACCCACAATCCCGGTTTTCAAGCGAGCGAAGACAGTACATGCCTTAGACCGCTCGGCTACCGTGACCGGCGACCTTAATGATTTTTTTTCCCCTTAGCGCTACAGCCCCAGTGGGCCTAAGCCTACCTCCATGAACTTCTCCGTTCACTTCGGTTCTTCTAGATCTTACACATTCGGTAGGACTCCTTGGGCGGGTGATCAGCTCGTCGCAAGGTCTCTACCTGTACACAAACACAGAAAAAAACACACACACACAAACTGAACATCCATGCCCTGAGTGGGATTCGAACCCACAATCCCGGTTTTCAAGCGAGCGAAGACAGTACATGCCTTAGACCGCTCGGCTACCGTGACCGGCGACCTTAATGATTTTTTTTCCCCTTAGCGCTACAGCCCCAGTGGGCCTAAGCCTACCTCCATGAACTTCTCCGTTCACTTCGGTTTTTCTAGATCTTACAAATTCGGTAGGACTCCTTGGGCGGGTGATCAGCTCGTCGCAAGGCCACTACCTGTACACAAACACAGAAAAACGGAGACACACAAACAAAACATCCATGCCCTGAGTGGGATTCGAACCCACGATCCCGGTTTCCAAGCGAGCGAAGGCAGTACATGCCTTAGACCGCTCGGCTAACGTGACCGGCGACCTTAATGATTATCATCACAAAATCCTGTCACAGAAAATTATCTTGAGGAATGGGTTATTTTTGTTGTTAATATTTGCCTTGAATGTATGAAGAGTAGGCCTCCTCGGCCCTTGCACCGCGTCCTACAGTGGTCTATTTTGCTTAGATATTTGCCTTAGTTGAACCTGCAGTTTTACGCAAAAACATGAACGGTGGGCAGTAGGCACGTATATCTAATGGATCTAATGTGTGGTGGGTAGACTATCCTACGTTGGTATTGGGCAACATATCACTGCGCATGTGCGGAGATGTATGTATGTTTAGTTATGGCAGCTGTCGCGTGTAAGTCTCCGAACTTGAGTAAGTTAATTTTAAATACACAGCTTTCTATGCAATAAAATCATGTCTGTAAGAGATGTCGCACACTTCCGGACGTTAAGATAATATTTGAATGCGTAAAATATGGAACTTTAATTATATCGTAGTTTGGTATTATACGTTTGCATTTTTTGTAAGGTTACGAAAGCAATATGCACAGCTGACTGGCAGCAAGAGCCAAATTTGCTGCCTGAACTATGTTAAATTTTAACTGTGTGCATTTATGTTATAGTAATTCATGCATTACAGACATTTGTATAGGCTCTTATCCATTTCATGGTTGTGGGAATAGTCGCCATGCTATTCATTGTTTCGAAATGAATATTAATGTGGACTTTGTACAAGGTTGACTTGCTTAATGTACTTTGTACACATATGGTACAATACCTTCTCTGAATTTCAGACCAGTTACTTCTCTAATAAATTACGAATGTCTTGCATTCCAGTGCGAGGGCTGTCATGGCTTGCAAAACGATATTATTCGGAGCAGATATTCCCAAAAATAACAACCCATTACAGTATAGTTCCAAGAGAAACAGACCCAAGATGGAAAGGTAGGTTTATGTACTTTATGTAAGTGTAAACTACATGAGAATTCACGTTAATCATCACTGTTAATTTATCGTACATTCACTCAACCCAAATCCAGTGTAAATTGAATAGATCTATGCTGTGTTTTACTTTATGACACATTTCAGCCATTTTTGGCTGTCATCAGGTATGTATCATTTTACAGTCAGACTCTACTTAGTCTGCTATATTTTCTCTTACATTGGCCAGTATTTACATTTTAAGGGGAAGGTTATATATGCTATTTACAGCATTATTGCCAGCTATAGTTCATATGCAGACTTAAAAATATATTAGATTAAATTAAATTTTAAATTAAGTTAAAATAAAATAAAATGAAATTGAGATTTATTGTTATTACTGATGTTGAATTATTGTTATTATTACTAACTTCTGTGTGTTTATGTACGTATATTGTTCTTTCGCACCACATAATGGTATAACCATTGGAAATTTAAGTATTCTATTTTTCTCGCCTGTCAATGCTAACTTTAATTTTCCTTGGAATTATTATTAATTTAGTCCCCTTTTATAAACTGTCATATTTTGTATTTTGTTCTTTAATTATTTTTGTGTATTTCTATCTACTCATGCTAACTTTGTAATTGGCCTCTGTGCTGTTAAGTTTGTGCTTAAATAAACATGAAATAATAATAATTTTTTTTATAATTAAATTATCTCTTGTTGTAGTTTTAAATATTTTTTTTGTCATGCATAAGTGATCTGTTTTCATGTCAAAAGTATAATTTTGTATGTTAACATAATTTTTTCAGTTTTTATGTTCAGTTACAGAGTGGGTAATGTTCGGTCTAATGTGACATACAAGTTCACAACACTTCAATCCTCGCTCACCTTACATGTTTCGATTCAAAAGAATCATCCTCAGAGGCGCACCACTACGATAAGGAAACACTGTCACATAAGATATTTTAAACAATATGCACTTAAGCTATGAATAATGCTCACTATATAAATTTTGTTATTATTGTGATTGGTATTGATGTTTGTCTTAGGCACTCACAATGGCGCTTCTTGAAGTGTAGATTTACTTATGATGACGTTTCTTTTAAGTGTAATTGGTGGTTATTCTGACTGGGGTTAAAATTTTAATACAATTTTAAATGCATTGGGAGCCAACTGTATGGAAAAGTGAACTTCATATTGCGTGCAGTATGATTTTGTGGATGGCATATTTTAGGACAATTTGAAAGGTGTCAAAATATATGCTTGGGGTAGCAGAATATCTTGTGCCAACACTGGTGAAACGGTATTTGCCTCTGGAGATAAAGTTGGCAGTCCCTGTAGCAATGGAAGCTAATGAAAACAGTTTCAATTATGTCAGAAGGTGTGTCAAAGCCTTCGTTCTGTTTGTGTTTCCATTTATAGTCATCAGCGCTGCTGCCAAGAGTCACACTTCTTGACTGTTGTTGTAACAAAGTTTGAAGTTGTCCTTAAACCTATAATGTCATATGAATGAGTACATCAAATTTAAATGTACTTTGTGCCAAGTTTTTCACTTCCACTCTATAATAAAATATGCAGAAATAAAATTGTGTATATTTGTTGAAAAATCTGGTGTCTTCTGGTATATGATGCTCTGTACTCTTGTAAAAAAGTTTACTTGTGTTGCTATTCTCTGTTTGTTGACTTACTCTTTGACCCTGAAGATGGTGGCAGTATCTTACTCTGAAATGTTAGTAAAACTGTATCAGGCTACATGTTGTCACATCCCAGAAAGCAACACTGTTCAGTCACTGCTGTGAGAACATCAAACCAATCATGCCCTTTTAGTATTTGTATTCACACTGAAGTTTATACATAGAAGATTCATTTAATATATATCAAGAACTTAACACATGTGTGATACAAGAAGGAAATAATATAATCATGTCATCAAGTTCATTTTATGAAAAATTGAATCTAAGTACAAAAGAATTTTAGCTAGTATTAAATAATAATAAAATGACCTTAAAAGGGGCTGAAAGGTAACATTTTATAAAAAGTAAACTTATTTGAGGCTTTGAAATTCCATCATATGATATATTTTTTTTTTTTTATTTTGTGTGTAACTTTGTGTGTATTTCTGCTGTGTGATATTCATTTAGTGGCTGACACCTGTCATGGAACTAATTAGAAATGAAGGTTATCTAAGAGTATGCACTAATAAGCCATAACAATATTTTTTTTTTCTGTTGAATTCTAATATTTGAATGTTTATTTTCCTTCTGTTTTAAAAATATAGATGTGAATATGGAGAGGTTTGGAGATGAGGCAGATGTATTGATTGTTGGCGGTGGCCCAGCTGGTATGTCCGCAGCCATCAGATTAAAACAGCTCGCTCAGCAGAATTCCAAAGAATTGAGGGTGTGCCTAGTAGAAAAATCAGCTGAGATAGGTGAGTTTAATTTTGATTGTCTGTGAAGAACGTATGTTGTCATTATATACATATTTATGCATCGTGCCATAGTTCACATGGTTGGACATTGACTTTTCATTATGGAGACCTGGGTACAATCCCAGGCTCTTTCATGTCAGACTCATGTCTGACTAATTGGTGCTGGAGCAGGTTTTCTCCAAGTTCCTTTATATTTTCCTCTACTCATTATTGTTCCACTATTGCACCATGTCACTGCCCCTGATGTGTGTGATTTCCCTGACCAGGTAGCACATTATCGCTTTCTCATCTTTTAGGGTTTTAATTTGGGGTCTTCATCATTGACCTTGGACTAGTCTGGTTACAGAGTAAGGAATTTAGTTTGTAATATTTATTATTGCACATGATACATAAAAGGAATTAATAATTTGGATATCCTCTCTTTTCAGCCACAAATTACATCTCTGAAACTGGTCAGCAGATTCTGATTAAATGTGCTAAAAATATTTTAGTTAATCTGTTTAACATAAATCATAATTTAAATGAAGCATATATAAAACTTTACAGATCAAATATAGTAGTAGGAAAAAGCGTAACATTTTAATTAGCTTGCCACATGATTTCCACAGTATTAAATAAATATAAAGGCCAGGTACATGTAAATTTGCAACAGTCACTTTTGAAAAATACGCAGCACACCTGCTCTGGTATCAATTTAAAACTCGCTGTTCATGCTGGTAGCTATCTTGAACATTCAGATAGTTCATAAAGTAAGAGATAGATGGCAGTAGAAGTTGTATTTTGGGAAGATATGAAGGCCGGATGGGCAATGCCTAGGCCTTTTTGGTATTTACAGTATTTTTTATACACTAAAAAAGAAGATCTGTTCCTCCGTTCGCAGCCAGTGCGAATAGGGTGATGGGCTGCAAATGGAGGAACATATCTTCTGGGACTGTAAACTGTACAAGGACCAGCAGGCAACAGTGATGGGCATTTTGTATGAGAACAGCAAAAGAAAGAATACCTGAAGTCTTAAGGCTAGAAGAAAAGAGATTTCTGCAAGGTGTCTGTTACTTCGTAAACAACATTCCTATATTTATATAAAATACATATGTAAGAAAAGTTAAAGAAATAATTGTACTGATTATTAACAGTATACTCTCAGATTTAAGTTAAGATCTGTATTAAGAATCGCTTGGAGACCGCTATGATAGAATAAGATGTTTATAAGAATGTGCTACAGAAGGCTGGATGGGCATTGCCTAGGCCTTTTTGGTATTTACAATATTTTTTCTACAATAAAAAAGACTAGCAGTAGATGGCAGGTGATACTTTAAGAGGATTGTGCTGTCATTTTACAACAGAAACGTGAGTTAATGGGCAAAATTAAAAAAAAGAATCTTACACTTGAAACTTCTTGAATGTAATACAGATAGAAACCAGATTTTTGGAAGATAACTTGGGTAATAACATAACACTATATTTTATTAGGATAAAGAAATATGTAGATGTAAGAAATTAGGATATGGGTAAGTTAAAGCTTATATCAGGCTTGTAAATTTTGAGGTTTTTGCACAGAATTTTGGTTTGATTCCAAAAGATTACCCTCCAGTCACTGTGGAGAAGAACGGAATCTCTGCCCCTGGTAGAAATAACATGTAGGTTGTTATGCCTGTGTTCAGGTATTTTTACTGACTGAGCCACCTGTGCTCATGAAAATATTAGAGATTTATTTTAAATACTGGTAATTTGGTTACTCAAACATATGCAGTGTGTATAACCTGCCTTCTGCGTTCTTTGAAGTTTCTAGGATGTAATAAGTTACCGCCTCTGTGGTCTAGTGGTCAGTGTTCCTGGCTACAGATCCAGAGGTCCGAGTTCAATTCCCGGCACTACCAGATTTTTTCTGAGAAGTAGTGGGTCTGGAATGGGGTCCACTCAGCCTTGTGATGAGCTATTTCAAGGAAATAGCGGCTCCGGTCTAGAAAACCGAAATTAACAGCTGTGGGGATTTGTTGCGCTGACCATGTGACACTCTCTATCTGCAAAAGTTGGCACTAAACTTCACCGACAAGCAGCAATTGCTCGGTCAGTATAATTCGTTTATGGACTAAAATCATGGAGTTTTTTTTTTTGTTTGTTTGTGGATGTAATAAGTATTGTGACATGTTACCTTACGTCCATCACCGCGACAACCACTACAATTGGAACGGACACTTCCACGACAACGAATACATGGAAATTGTGGAGTTCCCGCAGCGAAAAATCGTAGTAACGAATTGTCGTTGAGTAACAGCGGATGAGACGAAACACGTTACCATTGTAATCTATAGGGAGCTTCCCAAAGCAACGGATTGCCAAACACGTGAGATCGAACCTTGGCGAGGGTGTCCTCTATTGAGTCTGCGTGCGCCTTACATAAAGGGCCTGGCCTCGAACAGAAGTAGAGAATTAGAGAACTGAGAATCAAGTATTAGAGAACAGAAGCCAAGTGAGACTACAACTGATAACAATTGTAAAGAGTGTAAGAGTGAGTACCCAATAAAGATTAGCTAAATCTGAGACCCACGTGAAGTTATTTGTCGCGTGACATACCCAACACGTGACAGTATATTTCTTATCATTTCCAATTTTTCTTTTGTTTCAGTAGGCCACAAACTGCTGACTTGAAATTTATGTATGCTTGGAAGGAAAGAATGGGGAATATCAGATGTCTACCTGTTTAATTATTTTAAGAAACATTAAAAATGTTTCTTTCTTTTGTTGTGTATTAGGAGGTCACATATTATCTGGTGCCTGTGTAGATCCAGTTGCACTAAATGAACTAATTCCGGACTGGAAGGATAAGGGTGCACCTCTGAACACTCCAGTCACAACGGACAGGTTCAGTATACTTACAGAGACCTCGAGGATACCTGTTCCCATTCTCCCAGGTGAGTAATCTTTTGCATTTCAGGCAACAGATATGAAAAACGGTGTAAGCACAACTCATATATTCAGAAAAGTAAAGGTGACATGGTCCCTGTACAAGCCTGGATATTTGTTGTGCCACCAAGGGAGCCCACATTTAAATTTATTGAGAAAGTTATGTACACAGAAAAAGACTTTGATAGTTTTCCTTTGTAATGGTGTAACCCATTAATGTGTATACTAAATTATTTCTGAGATATAATGATTTTATTTTGGATACCTTTCATCCAGACAGCCTGTATATGGAGGAGTGGAGGTATAGCTCCATGTATTTTTAGCCTTGGCTTTATGCACCAGCCTCCTTAAATCCTGGAGAAAGAGTCCCTGATACTCATTAGACAGGAGGCTGGGTTAGCTCCAGAGTCAGTCTCAACTTGTATCTTGAAGGAGCCATCATCCATTCAGCTGATACATAGCTTGAGTTGCTGACAGCTTCATCTCTGGCTTCACGGCCCTTTAAGTTTAGCCTTAGCCTCCCTTAGAAATACTCTCAATTCTTTTCTTTCTTGAGCTTTTCGTCTCCATCTTTTCTATACGTAGAGTTTCTATGTCAACCTGTATGTCATCTAACCACCTTAACTTGGGTCTTCCAACTCCATGTCTGCCTTCCGGTTCAGTGTTGAGTGTCGTTTCTGGTATACTGGTATGTGCCCCAGTCATTCCAATCTTCTAATTTTGATTTCGGTCACAATATCTGGGGATTTATATGCATTTTGTAGTTCCAGATTGCTTCTTACTCTCCACATTCCTTGTTCACATTTTGATCTGTAAACTTCCTTAAAATATTTCCTACCCAGGTCATTAGATTGACTGACAGCATCATTAAGTAAAATAAAAAGGAACATACATGACTTGACATCCCAGAAATCTAATGTTGATGTTCACTACCGTGACAATCTTAAATCTCAGTTCTATAATAGCACTAATGGACTTTGTTTAATTTTGTATTGAGTGTAGTACACAGGATATTTTTGTTTTTAAGGTTTCCCTTTACGGAACCACGGAAACTATGTGGTACGGCTTGGCCACGTTGTGAGGTGGCTGGGCGAACAAGCAGAAGCACTTGGTGTAGAGATGTACCCAGGCTATGCAGCCTCAGAAGTGCTGTATCATGAAGATGGCAGTGTGAAAGGGGTTGCCACTAATGACGTCGGTATTGCCAAGGATGGATCTCCTAAGGTAAGAAAGTATATCTTAACAGTATGCACTTGGAATGTATGACAGCAATAAATATTGTAACGTTTTTCGTTACCGATGAAACCGTTCACCTTGTTAACTAGTTTATTTACAAGCTACAAGTCCAAACTACAATTAATTATAACAAAGTAATGGGTATTGACAAATTATAAACCCTACAAAATGATGTGTTCAATAGTCTTCTTGATGTAGTTATAACATGGGAGCTATACGAGTGTCACTGTATTACACACTCCCAATCGCTTCTCAGTTGTCACAAACTGTCACTGAGTATCACACAATAACTCTTCTGATCACACGTTCGGGTCTTCTCCCTGCGATCACTAAACTGCAACTCACTCCGTGGCTGCTGCATTAAAAACTGTCTTCGATGGCTGCTACATTTTAACTCGACTCAGCTCAACTCAACTGTCCTTGGCGGCTGCTACACTTCAACTGCTCACTGCTGACCAACTGACTGCTGCTATATTCCAACTCAACTTCGTAGGCAGTGTAGTTCTCTTATAAACCCTCAGCCGGACAACGGGAAAAACGCCTTGCTTCCTTGTTGCCTACTCGCCTGTTTACCGATGTTGCTGGGCAGTGCTGTCTAGAGTTGTTTACGGCTCCGTAGCAACTGCGGCATCCCGTGTTACGTCACTGTGAGGAAAGGGGTGTCTGCTGGCTTATTACCGTAGGAACGGTAACACTCCGAAAGTGTTACGTCACCGCTAGCGGGGTAGGGGAAGGAGTGTTGACTTGCCTGTTACCATAGTAACGACAGCACTCCGATGCCGCCACAGCAGCGCTGGGGAGGGAGGGGGTGTCCTCCATAGCGCAACATGTCACACTGTATATTGTAATGTTCCAGAGTGTAGCCTCATGGTAGCAGTTCCCAAAGTGGGCTGCAGTAGGATTACCTAGGGGGGCACTGGAGGTGGGCCTGTCTGAGTGTGTTGTTCGCTTATATATGATGAAATTTAGACCAGATGCTGGGAAATTGGTATAACCTCATCAAGCCCATCCTCGCAGTAAGAATTTAGTGAAAGTGAAGTAGTTACTAATGCGGTATCTTATTTCATTGTTATTATTATCTTATTGAGTTTTGCAAACCCCTCTTCTGAAGAATGCTTTTTATAGGGTAGGGCGAGGGGCACTGAGGGTGCAGTTATGGATGCAAGTGAGTGGTGACCTGAAAAAGTTTGGGATCTGCTGTTTAAGAGAAACTTCCAGCGTCCCTCTTTTGTGCAGAAACAGATCTTCTCTAGGTTATTTTATGACACTTTCAGTATCTAGACTGTATAGTGTTCAATAGTAGCATTATTTATGAATGGTGAACTGGAGAGGATTTGAAAGAAGTCATTCATGACCATTGCCTGGATTTTGATGACCTGAAAATATTTAAAAAATGACCAAAGAAATCCAGAAAAATGACCTAGAATAAGACCCAAAAATGTAATACACAGGGCCCGGATTTTGATGACCTGAAAATATTAAAAAATGACCTATAAAATGACTGAAAAAATCCAGAAAAATGACCTAAAGGAGAAAAGGAAGAACACTGCGCTTCCATGTTATTCACATTTTTAGAAAACATATGAAGAAAAATTCCCTAAAATGACCCAAAATGACAAGAAATACCCTTAGAAGTCCAAAAATTTACCAAAAAATTACCCCCAAAATGAAAAAATGACCTTAAACCTAAAAATGTAAAAAAATTACAAAAAATTACCTATAAAGTTTAAATTTCTGTAACCAGCAGCTCATATCCAAGATTTATATATTTAAGAACATCGCATAGGATACAAGGAAAGAAAGATGACATGTCATCAAAATCCGGGCCCTGGTCATGACCTAATTGAGGCACTGTTATAGCATTTACTTGGCGAGAGTGAGGAAAACCAAAAACAGAATCTCAGTCAGGGTAGCTGGTATCCCAGCCATGTATTAAGCCAAGCACCTCCAAAACGTTAGTTGACAATGTTCCTAGTACTTTAAGCCCCTTCCACTGAGCAGAAGAAGTGAGGGTAGAACAGGGTAAAACAGCATGTAGGGTGTAGGGAAAGGGGCTTTGAGCAATTATGAAATTAGGAAAGGAAGTAGAGACATGAATAAAAAAGGTGAAGGAAAATGAGAAAATGGTAGAGAAGAGTGGGAAAGCATGATAATAAGACAGAGAAAGGGGGAAAGAATCATGAGAAAGAGGAAAGAACGACTGAAAAACGCAATTTCAGGCATTGTCAGTGAAGCAGTGGAGGTTGAACTCCATCCCAATGTCATGAACAGTGAAGATGGTCTTTCCCTGGGTAAGCCACAGAAACTGCTCACCTGTACTCTGAAGGAGCGGAAGAAGACTCCTCTGAGGAGAAATCATAACCTGGTCGCTACGAGGGGCTCATCACAGCTACCTTTTAAAGGGCCTTCTTTCCCCTTCTCTCACACTTCTTCTTCCTCTTTCTCGCATCTTCTTCCCTTAATTTCTTTTTCCCTTCATTTCATGTAATCTCTGCCACAACAGAACCACACGTTCCAACTGGATTGCGCAGAACCCATTCCTGATACCTCGCTACTCTATATTGCATGCTGTTCTTTTCTACTCATCTCACCCTTTGTACCATGAAGATGGAGGCAGTTGCTTTCTCCATCATGTTGGCACCTATTTGTCAGAATGTGTGCTTGCTTATGTCATGCTCGTTACTTCTGTGGCTCACTCTTTGGCCCTGAAGATGGAGGCAGTGCATTCCTCTGTAACTTGTACCACACTACGTGGTGACATATCCCAGAAGTTACTGTAACATGCCAGGAGACTGTAATCTTGGCATCATAAGGAACTGATTGACTTTTTATATATGGGAAATAACAATGAAAACTGGACATGCAAAGTATGTACAGTAAGAAGTTTTGGAATCAACTTATGGTACCTGTTTTCCTTATTACATTTCATTGTATATGGTGAGGCTATCAAGAACAGTGAATTAGTAATTATACAGTTTAGTGTACTATTTCTGTGCTTGACTGCCCATGTGGTGTGGTGGTCAGAGTTCCTGGCCACAGATCCAGAGGTCTGGGTTGGATCGTGTCTCTACCAGATTTACTGAGAAGTAGTGGGTCTGGAACGGGCTGCACTCAGCCTCGTGAGCATAATTGAGGATCTGTTTTAAGGAAATAGCGGCTCCAGTATGGAAAACCGAGATGAACGGCCATGGGGATGGGTTCAGCTGACCACGTGACAAACTCTATCCACAGAAGTTGGCACTAACTTCGCCGACAAGTGGTTGTTGCTAAATCGGTATAGTTTGCTTGTGGACTACAGCCATGGAGTTTGTTTTGTTTGATGTTTGTATTTCTATGCGTAACTTGGAGGAGTACAGATTACTGTTATGTTAAATCTGTCAAATGTGACCTCAAAGTTCTATGTGTTCCAGACACTGATTACATGGATATTTCATCTGCTCTTTCTTCTCTCCTGTCAGATGTTTGTCCAGTTTGTTTTATGTCATTTTATTTTACATCCACATAAAGAATGGAATGTAATATTCATAGGTACAGTTATATAGAAAAGTGTGATCATGAACTGAAAAAATATGGATGAAACATTCTGGAAACTATATCAGTCTCTTTGAAATTTGTGCATTGTTGCCTTTCTTAGGATAATTTTGAGAGAGGTATGGAGCTGCTTGCCAAATGTACAATATTTGCGGAGGGTTGCCATGGCCACCTAGCAAAACAGCTGTTCCAGAAGTTCAGTCTCCGAGAGAAGTGTGAGCCGCAGACCTATGGTATCGGACTGAAGGAATTGTGGGAAGTGGATCCCAGCAAGCACAGACCGGGCACTGTCGAACATACCGTGGGCTGGCCTTTGGTAAGACATTACCCAGTGCCATGATATAAAACTTAATGTATTCAATATACTGTGTATGCCAGTTCAGTTGTCTTTTCTTAGAGATGTAAATGCTGGTTGTACGTGCTGACCCTGACCAGCTACCTGCATGGAGCAGAGTCTTTCAGCAGTAGTTGATCATCTACCTAAGAAATTCTCGGTTTTACAGAACATCGAGATTCACTACCATGATCACAAGAGCATGCCACTGATCCCTGAGTCAGATGAATCCACACATCATCACAAGTTATTTCTCTAAGGTCCATTGTAATATTATGTAACCTTGGCTCTTGGGGTTTAGCTGCACAGTGTAGTGACCATCTTCAGGGTGAGGGTGAGACAGAAGCAGAAATTTGACTGATACATATGTCTGATGGTAGGGGTAAGGTTGGAGGTATTAAATGTGTATCACGTTTGTCCGATATATTTCAGTGGAAAATCTAGGTATTTCATTTGGTCAATACCACTTCTGCTATACTTACCTGCTTGTGCTTGGGTTTTTAATATGTTTTGTATTGTGTTTCGTGTGCGGAAGGCTATTTCTTTTCGCGTATCCTGAAAATAGCTTAGTAATCCTTATTATTTTTTTGGAGTGCGGTACTGTTCAGTGGGAAGAGCCCATATGGTTAAGAAGGGCTGAAGAAAACCTTTACCCTTTCTCCCATTCCCCTTTTGCCTCACATTCATCGTGAAGATGAAGCCTGCAGAGTATATGGAAACATTACTGCATAGTTAAACTCAGAAAGTTGAAGATAAATGGTAGATACAGGCCACCGTAACTTAAAGATAAAAATGTCATGATATTATTGGAACTCACCTGCCAGATTGCAGCAAGGTGTCATAACCTAGAGAGCCGCACTGCAATATAGTGATCATTGCTGACTCTCCTGGTCTTCTTCAGCTTTATATCATCACATATCTGGAGTGAATTACCGTATTTACGCATGTATAGGCCGCACATTTTTTGCCAAAAATTCCAAGAGGAAAAATGGGGTGTGGCTTATATTCGAAATATTCGAAGTCACACTTCATTTAAAAAAAAAATTATATTCATAATTAGTAATACAGGGTGTTCTACTCCTGAAGTAATATTCCAAGAAAATTATTTTTTCTATAATTTCTGTCTGAAAATTGTGCTGCGGACTATACATGCACGCGGCCTATACATGCATAAATACGGTAATTAATAATTTTTTAATTTGCATAGTGGGAGGTGGAGTCCAGTTGGGTCCACTCAGCACGGCAGCCACTGATTGGCCTATTGTACCTGCCCTGGGTGATTATGATGATGGAGAATTAGGTGGAATGAAGATTGGCAGAGGAAATCGAAGTACTCGGAGAAAACCTACCACAGCACCACTTTGTCCACCACAAATCCCACTTGACCAGACCCTGGATCGAACCCGGGCTGCCGCAGTGGGTAGCCAGTGACTAACCACTTGAGCTATGGCATGGCCTTTATCTGGAGTGAATCTTGACAGGGTTTTGGATTAGAGATGGGCTTATTTATTAAGCCTGCTATGTCTTCACCAGTTGCTCCCTGGTAACGGCTTCTAACAGTGGAAACCCTTCAACTGCACTGACTAAGTCTTCTCTTCACAGACTCCTTTACAAATGACAGCTGACAATTATCTGTTCTTTCTCCAGTGGTCCTCTTTATAACCCCTCAGCACAGACCAACAGAAAAAACAGCTTTCCTGTTGTTGTGCTCCAAGTTTTTCCATGGAAACACGTTTTGTTTGTGAAGTCATTACCCAGTTATGGCTCTGGTATATTTACTTGTCTTGTGGTTGTTGCCTAATACTGGATATTGTTTTGTTTTTTGTTTCAAGATCGTTATCTAGTAACGTCTCTACACACTATAATATTAATAATCTTCTGTGTCTGTTACAGGATGCTCATACATATGGAGGGTCATTTTTGTACCATTTAAATGAGCCGACGCCCATGATTGCTGTTGGATTTGCTATAGGATTGGATTATTCAAACCCATATATAAGCCCTTTTAGAGAATTTCAGAAATTCAAACACCATCCATCAGTCAAACCTATATTTGAAGGAGGAAAGAGGTATGTAAATTCATTGTGCCATGTAGAACCATTGCTAGGCAGTGACCATGAGATAAGTGACTCTACAACAGCCATTGCTAAGCAACGGCTCCCAAAACAAACATGTATGTATATAGGGCAACGATTGCACTGCAACAGAAGAAGGGTGTTTCCTGTGCAGTCTGTGCTAAGATTTTATAAGCAGGACAATTCAGTAATAGTCAGTTGGTTGATGCGTCAGTTAGTGGGATAACAGCTGGGGCTCAGTTGTTGTGAGGTGTTGTTGTTAGATGCTGGTAGCTGAGGCTGGGCACAGTTTGGGAGCATAGAGGAAGGGGAATGTCTGCTGTTGGTTGCCACTACCAAGCAACAATTAGGAAGACGTGACTTTGGACACTAGTGGCTTGTAAGGTGTAGTCAAGCACTGTATCCAAAGAATCCAATAAACCCCATCATTAATCTGAAACCCATCTGTAGTCACTCAGTCATGTGACAATATAAATGATTCTAGCTTGTTTGGAGTCTTACTGCATCTCACTGTAAGCGATGGGATGTGTGTGTTGCAGGATATTAGAGAGAGAATGGGGTAAAGACATGCTGTTCTGATTTCTTCATGAGTGTTTGTTGTAACAGAAAGGAGAGGGAGGAAGGAAAGCAGAGAGGAAGCATGAAATAAAAGCGATCATAAAGTAACGTGGGTCTATCCCTGTGCTACTGATGTGGTGGGGAGGGTTACATGCCCTGATCACCTGGAGAGCTATGCTAGTGGGAGTGTGAGTTCCTGGTAGGGTAAACCATGGTAGTCAGTTTGAAGGGTCAGGTGAAAGGTAAGGTCCTCCATGTTGGAAGCTGGGTGTGGGGCTAACAACTTGACGTCATAAAGTAGCACATCCTTACAGAGCTAACAATAGGTGGCAGATGGAAAGTTTGGGAACAGTGAAGAAAGGTTGTAAGGAAAATAAATTATGTGAGAAACATGGGAAAGTTAAGACCGAGATGATGATGATGATGATGATGATCATCATCATCGTCGTCGTCGTCGTCGTCGTCGTCGTCGTCGTTTTTTTTTTCTTCCTACAGTTGGGTATTCACCCGGTGGCAGTAGAACTTACACTGGTACAGACAAGGAAAGACTATATCCCATAAAGGGAACAATACAAAACAGTACATATAATAAGCAAGGTACACACGGTGCAAATCCAAACATATAAAGTTATAAAAGGGCACGTGCTTGTGTTCGTTTCGCTGCACTCGAACAAGGACACTTCACATTACTTCGCTTGATTCATTCAACTTCACGTAAGGCCTCTATACTTGTAACAGCTTTCCTAACCCTGTTTCTAAATGTGAGATGACTGGAAGATGTAGAGAATGATTTATGAGAGGTAAAATTGAAGAGGTGGAGGGAAAAGGGAAATTATAGAGTGAACTGGGTATTTGTTGTAAGGGAGGCTGAGGTTCCTAGAGCAGTCTAGAAGGAAGGAGTGAGACAGTAAAGGAATATGGGAGAAAGGATGAGGAGGAGGTAAAGATATGAAAGGAATATAGGGAAAGGAAGAAATGCAGTGAGGAATGATAGAGTCAAAGAAGTGATTTTTAATTAAGATCTAAACGTTTGTGACAGTGGTAAATTGCTACAAGTACTATGTTTTTGGACATTATCCATCATTTTGTCTATTTTAAAACACAACGAAACATTGTGTTTTAAAATAGAAACAGGACGGTTTTTTTTAAAAATAGACAAGACGATGGATAATGTCCAAAAACATAGTACTTGAAGTGATTTTTACTCTAAAAAGTCAGTACCAGATGATGGAATACAATTTATATAACAAGTAACGAGGCTTTTTGTTGAAATTCTTAATTGGTGTTATATTAATGTTCTATGTTTATATACTTCTCCTCCTGTTCTTCTGTCATTATTTCCCTCTTATGCGGGTCAGAGGATGAAAAGTTCACAATCCCCACTTCCTTCCTATACCCTTCCTTTCAGTTCCTTGGCATCTCCTTCTTTTTGTCTCAGTGTCATCTGGTTTTAATATGCTAATGTAGTGAAACTTGCCGTTTGACTGTGCAGGATAGCGTATGGTGCCCGTGCTCTTAATGAAGGTGGATTCCAGTCAATACCGAAGCTGACTTTTCCTGGAGGATGTTTAGTTGGCTGCAGTGCTGGTTTTCTCAATGTGCCAAAAATCAAAGGAACACACAATGCAATGAAAAGTGGAATGCTTGCTGCTGAAAGTGCCTTTGAAGCTCTTACCGATGAGAATTCAAAGTCTGAAACATTAGGACTAGAACCAAAAAGTTATGAAGATAAAATAAGGAACAGTTGGGTATGGTCAGAGTTGAAGAGTATCAGAAATGTCCGTCCATCATTCCACAATCCATTTGGGCTCTATGGAGGCCTTCTTTATTCCGGCATCACTATGTTGATCCGAGGAAAGGAGCCATGGACACTCAGTCATGGAGGTGAGAGTGTTAAATTAGCTATAAATTAACTGATTTCAAGCTTATTTTTTTCGCTTAGTGAGGGGTGGAGCCCAGCTAGGTCCACTCGGCACGGCGGCCACTGATTGGCCTATTGTAGACTGCCCCGGGTGATTATGATGATGGAGAATTTGGTGGAATGAAGATTTGCAGGAGAAACCAAAGTACTTGGAGAAAACCCACCCCAGCGCCACTTTGTCCACCACAAATCCCACTTGACAGACCCGGGATCGAACCCAGGCCGCTGCGGTAGGAAGCCAGTGACTAACTGCTTGAGTTATGTCGCAGCCATGATTTCAAGCTTTCATGACAAGTGTTTGCAATCAAGTCTTCCCATGAGATCAGTTGTCAGTATGGAGTTAGTGTCCAATGTCTCATAGACTGTGCTTGTCCCTGTCATCAGTCCCCTATTCTCTGAAACAGCAGATGTGAATTCAATATTGACAAAGCTGAAGGCCTGAGAGAACTTCACATGTAAGTTAATAGTTTATTTAGGTGTTCTCTACAAAGAAAAAGAAAAAAAAGCAAGCCTTTTGTGGAGATTGTGTCTGGCCGTCTGTCTGTGACCTAGAATCAGCGCTGAAACCATGGTACCAACATTTTAAAATCTGATGTGGATGATTTTTAGAGAAAGTTACCATACGGTTTCTACCACTGTATCCAGAGCAGCTCTGGAACCCACCCAGCTTTCTATTCAGTGGACAGCAAGGCCTCTTTCCCCAGGGATAAAGCAGCCTGAGCATGAAGCTTGCTACTGATCTTTGTATAGTGTTGAGATTAAGAATGAGCAGAACTGTACCTCTGTTTCTCCATATGTCTTCATGGTGAGGTGCTTTGTACCCTTTCACTGCTAGTATGATAAGTAACTCTCAGTACCCTCTGTGCTGAATTATTTTTTAATAAATCTTTTATAAATAATTTAAGTACAAAGTATGAAAATGTGTGATAAAATGTAACTAATCTTACCTCAGACAGAGAACAGACAGCAGAAGTTGCAGAAATGTTGAATTATTCAGTATTTTTCACAGGGGAAAGTCCATTTAAATCAGGGTTGTCCAAGATGGCCAAAAAATTACATAATTCACTATCCTAGAATCACTGTATTTATATCACAGTCTGATCACTATGTCACATGTTGACCAAAGTCCAGAACTTTATTTAAAACTATTATAGAAAGCACTGTGCACTATACAAAGCCATTTTTACTAGCCTTGTGAAATACCCACATGACCATGGAGCGCATGCTTTGCTGTGCAGATGCAACGTTTTACATTTCTTAAACTAGAGGGCAGAAGAATGCAGCCATTGAAATGAATGATGCTTCATTACGTTCCCAATAGATGACTCTATGCACCTGCCAAGTTTGAATGAGATTGGTGCAAAGAAACCTGAGATTTGAAACTCTAAAGTCACAATACAGGTTTTGTCAATCACAGCAAGGTTGCCATGTTTTTGAGAGATCAACATATGCCAACCGCAGCAGTGTAATGGTTAATTAGGGACAGGGGCAACTTTATTTACTTAGACAATGAAGTCCATTTCATTAAGCCATAAATGGAGTTTTTCATGTGCAGTGTATATTCCTGATTATCTGTTTTAATGAAGAGGAAAACACACATGAATAATTAATAAAAAGAAAAAGGATAATCCAAGATGTTTTGTGTGCGGAAATATACACATACTGACTGCAAAATGTGTTTTTTTTTTCATTTTTCTCTTCTGTTCAAAACCTTTTTTATTCCAATATATATATATGTAGCAAGTTGTCCTTGAGGTATGTGCAGACATGCACATAATTGTGCAGGTCGAGCGATCATTCATATTGTCCGGTCTAAATGAAAATTTAAATGGCTGTCCAATTTTTCATAAAATTCTCCAATATTAGATTTTATTTAAAAACCTTTTCACCTGTTCTTGAGTTATTTCATGTGTGCAGACAAATGGATGGGCAGAGGGGTTGAGCAGACTTATAATTGCTCTGCAGGGTTGCAGATGCACCTAGGAAAGGTCCACAGATAACCAGAAACTGGACAGGATAGTCTGTGCACCAATAATTGGGAGTATACAGTATATTAAAACCAGTCTAAAATATTGTAGCATGTAGAGCTGTTACTATGCAATGACCGCAAGATAAGTAAATATACCAGAGCTGTTTCTAGGCAACAGCTTGGTAAATGTGTTCCTGTGGTAAGGGATATGCATAGGGGCACTATTGGAAACTTTTATATGGTGGTCCATGCCGAGGAGTTATAAGGAAGACAGCTGGGCAACCAAATCATTTCTGAAGAAAAAGTCAGTTACAGTGAGTTAAGTTGCCAGTTGAAAGTCAGGCTGTGGAGAGAAAACTAGGAGGTTGGTATGAAATGGCTGCAGCTGGAAGGTAGCCGCCATTCAGAGATGACTTGAGCCCAGAAGCAGAGGAATAGCTGTTGTTAAAAGGTGTTAATGAGGAAATGTCTAGTGAAGACGCCGCAGTCTGGAAAGGACTTAGCATGATTTATAAATTGTGTAAATCAGCAATGGCACTATAATTAAGTCAAATTATGAGTTGAATGTTAAAGTGATCATTAAAACGAAAATCCAGTCCAAAACCCTGTCGAGAGTCACTCTGACTGCGTGACAATATTATAAGCAGACCGCGAGTAAACTGTCTTCTGTCCATCAAGACAAAGAGTGTTGAGTTTGTCTCCAAGGTAACTGTACACATGGGGCAGGTTCTGTTACCCCCGTTTGTTTTAAGTCGTTATGTATCTTGTCCAATTACAGATCCTGATCATAAAAGACTGAAACCTGCATCTGAATGCAAACCTATAGAGTACCCAAAGCCTGATGGTGTTATCAGCTTTGACCTTCTGACCTCCGTGGCTCTGACCGGAACTAACCATGAAGGTGACCAACCTCCTCATCTCACACTTAAGGATGATACAGTTCCTGTCAAGAGAAACCTGGCTGTGTTCAATGGACCAGAACAGAGGTTCTGCCCCGCTGGTGAGTAATAGGAATAATGCTGGGTTTGAGGTTGTCACAGGAGTGGCTATGAAGGTACTGTCTTCCAGGACATGAAGCTATTTAGTCCCTGTAGAAGTTTGAGCCAGGGATGCAAGAGGCATATGCTAAGCAGGGCATACATATTTATGTTTCTTCTAATTTCTGGAAGTAAATTTAATTCAAATTTATGTATGGACATTAAGATTGTTGTGTTCTGGAATGTAACATGGTGTAGTCTGGTAGACAGTGGTGGAAATGACGTTTTGGAACTACACAGACTTTTCAGATCAGTTGGAAAGTTCCAGGGAATAATCAACATATATTACAAGGAAATTATCACGGTGCAGGGTCATGAATTCGTTCCTGTGTATATTGTCAAGAACTGTTATTAAGATGTCGTAAGCTAATGGAAATGGGTTCCATAAAATGAATCGCTCTGGAGCTAAGTAGATTATTTCCACCCATGTCTACCCTCATTTCCAGGCTGATTGGTAGTGTGTACCAGCATTTAGGAGGAATGCCTTCATCTTCACCATAGAAGAAGTCGGTCTTCAGCTTCGTCTTAATGTTCAGGGCTGAAGATATAGGCAGCAGGTTCTGTTTGTAACATGGCACCTATCACATATATGGCATCATATCCCAGAAGAATATAATCTTAATAATCATTACTGTTAGAATCAGAAATTTTTTAACATCAAAGTTTATTATTTATTTTGTATTTTAGAATTTTATTTAAATCAGTTTGACTTCTCTTGTATTTGGCTCACCCATCTTGCTTGAGAACAGTTTTTAACCATTTTGGCATTTACATCTTTTATAGAACTTCATAAAAGCTATCCCTGTAACAGGCCATGGAAGCACTTAGGGTCGTGTGACATCAAGGCTCCCACATTTTCTAGACTTTCAGCTCACAGATATCAGTAAGGTTGTCAGCCTTACATGCCAGCCGCCCTTTACCCCCAGGAAGATTCGTGGTACTCATTTCTGTTAGAGGCTGAGTCTACCCAGGGCCATAGTGCAGCTGGAAGGATTAGATCAATTGAAAAATCCAGTAACCTCATCGGGAATCAAACTCGCAATCTTCTAGCTTGTAGCATGGTGCCTCAGCCAACTATGCTACTGTGTGTCCCCATAAAACTTAATATGTTATCAGAAATTATAATGAACATATAACTGAATGTGCGATGTAATACAACAAAAATGTGAGTATATTACCAGGCAGTAGCTCATGTTATCAGTAGTGTTGCGATATTGTGTTTGGAGTTTTCCCTTTGCTTCTGATGCATTTCCCTCCTGAATACAAGATTGAATCCACCATGCTGTACTAACTCTAATGAAAACATTCAGTCTGCTACAGATGTATAATATGGTAATGTATGTAGTTAGGTAACGGTGCAGTAAACATCTCCTGGCTTAAGTGCGTAACAACAGTACATGATCATTGCCAGGCAGCGGCTCAGTAAACACCCATGACCGACGTGCACACAATGATAGAAGGACATCCATCTGTAGGCCAGAACCAAAATTTGGGCATGCAAAATAGGATATTTTCTGTAGATCCAGCCAGCATGCCAATGGACTGGCTGGTTGGTGAATATGTGACATGTTTTCTCTGTGACGTGTGTCCGTGCTGCATATATATAAGTGAGCAGAATTCTGAAACTGAAGCAGTAAGCTGGCGGAATGAGTAGTAGACAGTGTTCAGCTGAGTTCCAAGGTTCCAGAGCGATTGAACAAGAAACGGCAAGAAGACTTCATAGTGGTTTGAAGTGCTAGTTTCTGTGTTGAGAGAATTAGACTAGACAGTTGAAGTCAGTTGTCAGGTAGTTCATAGGTAAAGAATTAGAAGTTGGCCTGTGAAGACTTAGTGTGTGACTAGAAGATTTAGTCACAGTGAGACTGTTTTAATTCCGTTACCAGGAGGCGAATAGCGCAGACTGAGAATCCTAGCGCATGTGTAATGATGAACTATAAATTGTGTAAATCAGCAGTAGCGCTGTATTTCTTGTAATTATGAGAGATTGTAACCGACGTGCCAATAAATCCAATCTAGAACCCGTTATATTCACCACGCATACCCCCTCCCCCCTCCCTACATGTGACAGTATGCATAACAACATATTTCAATGAAACTTTCACCATTTACGTACAACACATGCATGTTCACAGTTGTGGCTTTTGGGATTATTCACTGCTGTACTTCTGTCTCTTTCTCTTCATAACACTGCAGGGAAAAGCCTATTCTGCAGAGAGCTTCCCCCTGCCCCCCATTCCAGACCCCTCTATCCTCCACTCAGGGCTTCTTTTGTGACAGGGAGCAGATACACTGTATATATGATCAGTATGTTAGTACCAAGAAGTTAGTCATTTACCCAAGAGATGGCAGTAAATGCTTGAAAATATCACCAGTGCTTTTGCGCGCTTTGAACAAGGGTGGAAATCCTATTGTGAGGCACAGTCAGGCTCATATACTAGGAAAGGGTTAAGCTGGAGGAACTGAGAAAAATCTTGTGAGGATAGCAGACTCCCTGGCCATAGCTCAGATGAAATACTGCCCAAAGATAAGTTAGATTTCTTATGCTAGACACATTTATGTTGGAAATTTTTCTTGCCAAATGCTGAGACATGAGTACTTTATCCTGTGTGAAATTTTGTAAAATGATTCTCTTTAACTGCAAGGTGTTGTTAGTCCTGTGTCCAGCCCCCAATCTGAAGGAACACCCCTTGTTGGCTGTCCATGACTGCTTATTCACTGTAGCCACACCTGTACCGCATAACTTGCTTTCCAGTGTGTATACAGTGTAATAACATGTAGAAAGATTAAGTTGATTTTCCTTATTTTGTTATGTTATTTCCACCAGCTGTGACAGTTGAGTGGCTAGTACTCTTGCTTCATATTCAGAAGGTCTCGGGTTAAAATCTCTGCATGGAGATGAACAATCCTGACTGAGGTTTTTCATGGTGTCTCTCACTCTGTCCAGGCACATGGAAAGATAGTACCTCATATCAGGCTATGACCACTTCCTGTTGAATTCACTAATCACTGATCATCCTGCTACTCACACATATATAAACTTATCAATTGAAAGTGTCATTATAAAAGCAAGAAGCGAAGAATATGCCCAGATGGACCAGCTTGCACCGTATCAGGGAACCACTCAGGATGAGCAGCCTTAAAGAGGGAGCAGTTGGAGAGTAAAATCCATGGAAAAACTGAGCCACAGAAAAGGATGTGAAACCAAGCACAGCCCTCAGAAAAGGAGAAATGGCTGTATAAATAGCCTTAGGAGGAGAGCAATGCAACATGTCGCCTGAAGGCCGGAATAGTAAAGCCAGAGGAGACGTTCATTGCTAGGCAACGACTCGGTAAACACGTTCCCATGACAACGAATACACAAGCAACAAGAGAGGAATTATTAGGAAACGGTATTCTCTGTTAGGTCTGCTCCAAGGCTATATAATGAACACGCCCAGGCCACCTGATGTGATAATTGAGAGAGTTGCTTGAGATGTCAGATAATTGAGGAATCGAGAGAGTTAGTTGAGGGTTGGCGGTTCAGTTGTGAAGAAAAGAACTGCAAGAGTTTGGCTGTGAAAAGAAGACGTTATGTGTGCTGTAGTTACGGTGAGTTAGTTATAAATCCGTTGCCAGGATACGACTCAGTGAAGATTTAGAAGACTTAGAGTGTCATAGTGATTTGTAAAGTGTGTAGATCAGTGATAGCACTATAATTACTTGTAATTGTGAGTGGTGGTAATAAATCTATTTTCCGTTCCATACCCTGTCTATAGTTACACCCCAAAATACGTGACAGTCATTGATACCTGATTGTTCTATGCAGATAGTCAATAAGTTTTGTACAATTTATGTGTAAAGAAAAAGGACCATGGTATAGGAGAAATTGTCTTAGGCAGTAAAACTTCTGAATTCTCGACTGGAGGTGACTGGTTCAAATCTTAGCCATGATACCTGCTGTCCTGGTTATCTGTTCTCTGAGGATTTTCATGATTTTCCCTAGTCCCTTCAAGTGACTGCAAGGCTAATACATTTAGATAAGCCATGACTGCCCCCTGCTACTTTCATTTCAATTCATCGCCCATTAATCATTCCGTCTTTCAGTGCTATAAATTCTGAGTTACTGTAACAGCTTCATTAAATGAACAGAAATTAGTCAAGTGTGTTTATGTTTTCCTATCTCATGTCTTTGTACAACATTGTCATTCATCAACATAAGGAGTCGTTCAAAGGAGAGTAATTTATATAACTGTTTTCAGTGTGAACCATTCCAAATACTGTGCAATGTTTGGAAGAAATAACATTCTTGTGTTTCTGGTGCCAGGTGTATTCTGTGAAACTCCAATTATTTTTAACTGGGACTGGATCCTGTAAAAGAATGTAATTTACAATTGAAAAGCTCTGTGGCCCGTGTAACGATAGTAATATTTCCCAGTCAGTTGGATGATAAATTGTCCTACTTAATGTTGTTTACTTTAATTGGGTGAAAAGATAAAATTTCAGATCTTTATAATGTACAAAAAATTTAATTCTTTATTATATAAAATCTCATTGCACATTTTCCACAATACCACAACATCTTAGACACATTTGCAGCCCTGCAGAGCACATATTAAATTTATTTGTCCTTAAATTTCTCATTGTCACTAATGTCGTTCCCATCTCAGACGTTTGCATATCCATGATGGTTATATTATTTATCACAGGAGATTAAAAATTACTAAGTTTGAGTCAACCCAAGTTGTATGATGTGCCAAGTTTCATGAAAATCCATAGATTAATCGAGAAGTTAGAGGGGAGTCATGTGGATATTAGGATCGTAAGGTGTCATACATACATTTTTTTCCCTTGGCACTACAGCCCCAGTGGGCCTAGGCCTACCTCCATGAACTTCTCCGTTCACTTCGGTTTTTCTAGATCTTACACATTCGGTAGGACTCCTTGGGCGGGTGATCAGGTCGTCATAAGGCCCCTACCTGTACAC